GAACAAACAGAAAAGAAATGTTCGAGAATTACCAATCATGATAAATGCCAATCAATCCGCGTTCAAATATAACTCCCAATGTGTCTTTCTCAGCTATTGTAGGCATGACATTCATAACCCACAACTTAGGAGAGTCGAGAGCAGCAGCAAAACTTCCCAGACCGGCATTCATGTCCATAATGTTGCGGTACCTTCCTGTATTCATTAACTTGTTGGTCCTCTTATAAGCATTTACGTGTTTCTTCCATGCCTTATTGTCCTCCTGGAATGTCTCAGCAGATACATCCGGGACAAAACCACTAGATATTCTGGAAGGTAAAGCATTAAGCCTCTCCGGGAATGGCTTCCATGGCCCACCAGCATCCTCATTAAAATCAGAAGTCTCGGGAAAAGGAGTTACACACAACTCCATCTTCTTGTACCTACGAAACAGAAAAAGGTTAAATGCTGCTTTGGAAATGGCAAAAAATTAAACTGATAACCAATAAATGTTCAATCAACATTGTATATGAGTCAGTAGATCAAATGAAGTGATATACCAAACATCATCGGCATTATTGGATTCACACATATTTGATTGGGGATCTTGGTCACGACGATACTCGGAAGTTGTTTGTTTCCTCCAGATGGCAATTTCACCCTTCTCATGTTCTTTTCCCAGTTAAGAAGTTTCGCAACCTCTTCAATCTTCTTCTGTTCTTCTTCAAGTTCTTCTTTAGGGCGCTGCCACGCTACATAATTATTCCTCCAGTTAATAGGAGGACCCGAAAGCACCCAGTAACCACCAGGTCTTAGAACCCGATCAACTTCCATCATGTACATTCCATCTGCAGTAGAAGTCCAAGTAAGATTCCATGTTCTAAATGATATCCTTACCTAAAATTATAATAAAAGCTCGCCTTTTCCCACAAAGAAAATGGGGAATGAAAATCACTAAAATTTCATAAAAAACAATATCAGTGACTAATTTATGTGCATCACCATTTTCACCCCACGGAATCAGGCAACGAGAGCAGTGAGCCATGTCAAAGGCCCTAGAAGGGTAAGGCAGCTTTATAGTTCCGAGAACGCCAATAACTGCTGGAACACCTCTTTCCAGAGCAAATTGAACTTGTGCTTCATGAGAGTCTCTTGGTGCGAATGACATTGCTATAACATTCTTTTTAAACAGGTAGGCACCCCAGCTGGCAACCTATGAAGTATGAACCAACATGGGGGACAAATCAAATAGAAGAAAAAGTAAGTTGCATAGGCTAGATATAAATACTAAGACAATCTGCAACGAAAGCTCCGTGTTTGAGAATTGGGTTGTAAGTTCCAACGAGGGACTAGTACGGATGTATTTGAGAATAGCAGAATTAACAGCCAAGACATTTAAAGGAGTGGAAAAACGAAAAAAGAAATTGAAATTACCCCACATCCAGTGTCCAATGCAGTTCTAACCATCCCATTGTCCATTGGGATGACACCTGCAAGTTCATTGATATATGCATCTGCTCCGTGAGGAAACTGTGTTCCACCACCTGGAAACCTAAACACATTGCCCTCATACTGAATCCAGTTCTGAACAGCCTTCTCAACTGTCAGGCTCTTATAGGGAGCATTGGCATAGGGTACATAGTCACGGCTTTGGGGCCATCGAAATGGAGTCACATATCCTTTGGGTGCCGGAATAAGGCAATGTAGCTTCTCTTCTTCAGGCGGACAATGTCTTTCCCTGTAATTCATATTTTCTCGGGGGAAAGTCATTGCTCGCATTTGATCTTGACAGGGAGTGTAATCTATATAGCGACTGCCGCATGATTTGAACTCTTTGACAACTCCTTCAGAACCATCAGTCCCAGAATGATGGGTTACAAGACTGGATAGAATACTGCAGTCTGTATGACTGGTAATATCCATGGCTATGCTATCTCCCTTCCCAAAACCACTTCGCTGCCACACACCCAATATGTAAAAGAAACAACACAGGCCAGCTACAACGACAATTGACATGGAGCTTCGACTTCTGTTATCTCCTGAGTTCCCTTTTGTCGCCATGATGTGCCTGAATGTTTTTTGCGATTCCCCAAACCAATTAGGACATTTTCCAAATAAATGAAAAGAAATATAGGGCAGATCCTTACATGTATAAAAAAATGGAGAAAGTATGTTCCATATTCTATCCAAACTCCACAACTACTTGACTACCTTGATGAGTTGATGTACACTTATGTTGTAGACTATGATCCCCACCAAGTCCTTTTCCCATACAATTTGAATTACTCATAAAAAGAAAGTCCAATTCTTAGCATAAATTTCAAAGTTTGAATTAAACAAATACACCGATACAAAGACAAGGAAACTTATCATTACCAAGGTTCTAAAAGACGCTAGGCACTAGTAGGACGGCTAGCTGGGGCCGGGGTCTAGGCGCCTAGGGGGACTAGGCGGATTTAACTAAATCCATTATATTTCATGTAAATAAGTATATGTTTATACTTAAAATATATATAATTTCATCATAAACTACAAAATAAAATGACACGTATATTATGAAGTATTGGAACATAATGAAAACATGGGGAATAAACATATAATGTGCGCTCATTTAAGTATTCAACAAGTCTCTTACAATTTATTGAAAAAAATAAAATGCAAAATGAAAGTTATCTATTTTCTGCTTGCAACCTAGGTGGGTCTAGGCGGGATAGGCGGGCGCCTCAGCAGGTCTAGGCCCCCTTTCTTAATCTTCAACAGCCTAGAGATTAATGGCAAGGATTTTTGGAACAGTGATCAATACAAAAGCCGGTCAATGACGAACAATGGCCACTAAAATAGCATGCATTACGAATTTCAAGAGCATACTGCGAAAAACAAATCAAATTAGTTCAAAATTTTCGAAAATTTTATTCTCAAAACCAAGAAGTGGCGTTCTATGATTCATAGAGCGGACCTCACTTAGTGTGATAAGGCTTGGTTGTTGTTTTCGAAAATTTCATTCTTTGGAACCTCGAAACCAACCTCTCAGCAAAGACCAGCACAACTCCGAGGCTCAACTCGACGCAAACCAAATTACACATTGGTCGAAACACAAATCATTGAATCATATATCGCATCGAATTGCAATTCCAATTTTCAGTTGTTCCCCATTTCCGTTTTCTTCTTAGTCACAGAGTCACAGTCTCATAAACTCGAAATTAACCAACAATTTACCAATTACAGAAACTCCAAAAATCAAGAACAAAGCACACCACAACAAAACGAGATTCAAACAAACTAATAAAATTATCAATTAAATCCCATAAAATAAAATAATCAGAGAAAAATGCAGCATGCATAAATAAACCCAAAATTCATATCCAAATCAAAAGAATCGAGAGCTCTTACGGATCTCAGGCAGCGAAAAGCACGAATCTTTTTCGGGTTCAATCAAATCGAACGCAGCTTTCACCTCCCGCAACCCGTAACCCACGACACAGACGGAGACATCGAGAAAAAAAGACGACAACTTTATGCGACAAAATGCGGCAGAAATCGTGGGTAGCGGTTCTGACACGAATTTGATCTCGGAGGCGGCACGAGCGGCTCTGCCGTTGTTCTTCTCACGTTGTTTAACTGGAAAGATAAGTACGATGAGGCCGATGATGCTTTGTTCTTCTGTGTGTTTACACAACTGTTCCGATTCTGGTTTTTTTTCTCTTTTTTTTTTTTTTTTTGTGTGTCAACGGACACTGTTTACTTTAAGATCGCATGTTTTTAAGGCATCATAGGATTGATGATGCTTTCACCCAATCAGATCCCGCCATTTTAGTTCCCAATCGGTTGGGAGTTGGGACCCGCGGCAAGAAGAAAACATAGAGAAAATTTTCATTATTCCCTGAATACGAGGTATATCATGTATTTTTATTTAAGTGATGAAAAATTTTATTTTTTAAGTTATTAATTTTTAACATACATATCTCATTATTTATATAATGACACATGATGTACTATCCTATGCTCCCGTCACATTGAAAAATATCTCAAAAACATGATGTGTTGTTTTAGGACAACGACGTCATATTGGTTAAATATAGCACAGAGAATTGGACCAAAGATGATAGCTTTGCTTTGCCATGGCAAATTTGAAAAGGTACCGAATGAGTAGGTAAATTTGGTGAAAATCTTGGGTCTAGTAAGAGAACCACGTCATATGTTCGTCCAAACACGACTCTTTGAATTGAGATGAAGGAAAACTCACGTTGTGATCTTGGTATAAATGTGTTTAGTTTAGTAGTGTGTGCGTCCGTTCAAATGAAGTTATCATTTTAGTGAGCACAAAATTTTCTCGTAAATTTTAATTAAAAATCATACAAATAAAAGGTAAAACAAGTCTAAGCCTATACAGAGTACTGGTTTTACCAACACATTAAAACATTTAGGCTTTTTTTTTATTAGAGCAAGTCCACTAGGGACATTTAGGCCGGCACCCAGCCAATCCCCTCTAGCCCAGTAGATTAGGACGGCACCCAGCCCAAGTCAGTCTCCAGGTTAGCCCAAAATGTGATGAGCTATGAGACGGTCCATCTGACGTCATGCTGATACCAACATAACGTCGCAGGACATTTTAAATTTTTATTGACGTACTAAAGACATTTAGGCTTCTTTATTAAGATATAGAAATATAAGAACTCAGCTTGAGGCATCCTCAAACATTTCTCGAGCCCTCACAAATAGTCCTCGAACCTCACTCGAGAATGCTCAAATCTCTCTCTACTAATTAAAATTCTTAAAGTTCAAACAATTCAGCTAATATTTTTTTTACTTTTTTCACGTGATTATGAAATAAACTACGCTGAATTTAAACTCGAGTTGAAGAAGACGAACACAATTCAACTTACCTAATTCACATCTGCAATTGAGGTAAAATGTCTTTAACTAGTCTAAAGATTTGTGTAGTTTCCAAAATTTACCCTTTGCAATGTTTTCAAGACAAAAACCTTCGAACAAACAAAGAAACCGGCACTCTGATTCGATTGATGAGCGCTTCATTCCCCCGCCAAAGACAGCGACTTTTCCATCTTCTCCACCAAAGCCCCGCCGTCTTCTCCTCCCAGAAGCTCCTTCAAATCCAGGCCCAGCTCACCACCACCGGCCTCCTCCACTCAGACCCCTCATGCCTTCTCTCACTCCTCGACCTCTCTCTCTCAACCCCTTCAACTCTCCACCACGCCACCGCCTTATTCACCCACGCACAAACACCCAATGCCGCCGCATGGCCCGTCATGGTCCGCCGGCTCAGCTTAGATGCCGACCCTTCTCGGGTTTTCGCTTTATTCAAAGAAATGCAGAGGCTAAAACGTAATGACCCAGTTTGTGATCCTTATGTGTTTGCTTCTTTGATCAAGGGTTGTAGCAAATTATCCGCTTTTCGGGAAGGGAAGTCTGTGCATTGCCGAGCTGTTAGGATCGGTTTGGATTGTAATGTGAATTTGTTGAACAGTTTAGTTAGTTTTTATTCGCGTTCGAAGAGTTTGGTGGGATGTGCTTGCATTGTGTTTGATAGAATTCCTCAGAAGACTGTTGTGACAGTAAATTGTATGCTTTCTGGTTTTGTGAGGAACAGCTTGTTTGGTGCGGCGTTGGATTTGTTTAACCGAGTTTTGAGTTGCGATTTTGGTTTGGGATTGAAGCCGAATTATGTTACTTTGGTTGTTTTGACTTCAGGGTGTGTGGATTTTGATGAGTTTAATGCGGGAAAGGCACTTCATTCATACTGTTATAAGGCGGGTTTGGATTTGGTAAACGAGGTTTGTAATGTGCTTATTGATTTGTATTCGAAGTTTGTGCATATAGATGAAGCTGGAAGGATGTTCGATGAGATGCCTGAGAGGGATTTGGTTTCATGGAATACCATGATTGCAGGATATGCTGGAGTTGGTGATTGTAGAAGAGCTTTCTTTTTGTTTAGAGAAATGAACGCTGGGGATGTTGGATTCGATAGAGTATCGCTGATAAGTTTGATTTTGGCTGCTTGTAATAGTAGAGATCTTGGTATGGGGAAGATGATTCACGGGTATATGACAGCTAATGGAACAAAAATAACTGTAGCTATTCGGACGGCACTGATTAACTTGTACTCCAATTGTGGACTAATAGCGTATGCTAAAAAAGTATTGGATGAAGCACCGGATGACAACATTGCATTGTGGAACTCTATGATCCATGGATATGTCGAATGCTGTCATAATCAAGAGGCATTGGGGCTCTTCAGTCAGATGCAGTCTAAAAAGCTAGAGCCAGATGAAACAACAATGGTAGGGTTAATCTTAGCTTGCCGAAACTCAGGGGATTTGTCTAATGGATTCGACATTCATTCTTACATAGAGAGTAGTAATCGTCATCAAGGGAGTATTGTTCTGCACAATGCTCTTATAGACATGTATGCAAAATGCGGGAGCATGACCCAAGCTAAAGTTGTGTTTGATAAGATGCCACGGAAAGACGTTGTTTCGTGGACTTCAATTATAGTTGGTCATGCCATCAACAGTGAAGGAAAGGAAGCGCTTCTTGCTTTCCAGAGAATGTGTGCTGAGAAAGTTGAACCAAGCTCAGTTACATTCATCAGTGTTCTATCAGCGTGCGATCATGCTGGTTTGGTTGATGAAGGTCTGAACTTGTATAACGCAATGTGCAAGTCTTACCATATCAAGCCCACAATTGAGCACTGCGGATGCATGATTGATATGTACGCACGAGCAGGAAGGCTAGAGGAGGCCTACAAGTTTGTGAAGAGTATGCCTGTAGAGCCAAATGCAGTTGTTTGGAGGATGTTGATTAATGCTTGTAGAGTTCATGGCGATTTTGATAGGGGATTATGTTTGGTTAGTGGATTCACAGAACTAAAAACACTGCATCGTGGTGCCGAAGATCATGTAACTTCTTCCAACATTCTTGCTGATGCAGGAAGGTGGGACGATGTTCTAAATGAAAGAAGCTTGATGGCGACGAGGAAAGTGACGAAAGTCTCAGGTAAAAGCTCCATTTCAGATTTAACAGAGTGAACAGTTTTGAGCAGCTACAGTTTGCAGCAGGGTAGACTTGGATTCCTCCTCTCATATAGGTACCTTCAACGAATCACATGAAAATCCAAGTTTTGGGACCATTTGAGCCGCAACTAAACTGATATGCCGGTTATTCCAGGGCGATTACTTCACCTGTTTGAGCATAAGGGAATTCAACACAGCTCATGTCTCCACCTTTCAGTTTCAGTTGAATGAGCGCATAAACGATTCTGGATCCGTTAGAACAAGTGCGAATGACAAAATTTAGTTAAAACGATCTTTATACCATTAAATTCTGAAAATGGTACACCGAATCTTCTTTGTTTTTTGCTCTAAGGCATGTTCAAATATTACAAGCAATGAAAATGTAACTTGTATATTTCATTCATCTTTTGTTCTTTTGCTCCTTCCAAAAATTTCCCTTAATGGAAATCCAGAAAGCATTCTCCATCATCATCAAGCGTACCCCCACTTACAGGCGTCCCTTGCGAAAACTTCCCATTTGAAGCTGTTTCTAATTGATTATCCACCATAAGATGTTTTAATTCATCGCTGACGTGCTGCACCCTCCCGGTAATCTCCAAGCACAACCCCTTTGTTAGGGTCTTGTTTGCCTTTCTGCCTTGAACAGGCTTCTTACTAGGGCCTGGATCCACAAATACTGGTTGTACTTTAAGAGAAGGGTTTGGTGTGATGCGGTTCACTTCCTTTTCATCCCGGGGCCTCAATATTCTGCTTTCTGATTCTACTTCAGAAGCTTCGTCTTCATTTACAAGGACCTGCAGAACACAAAATATTAGACGGGAACAATGCACAACATGGAAGAATAGATATTCTCATGACAAATTTAACCGCTGGAGCTAGAAAGGAGTTTAGAAAAATCAGCATGAACAAGTCGTTGCGAATAGTGTCCAGCAGCAATACTCGTAAAAAAAGTTTTACAACAAGAAATTGTACCTGTACAAGCACACATTCAGCGAAGTTATAATTACCTTGCGACCAACCAAGTCAAACGATACAACTACTTTACTTCGTTTGATCCGCTCAGCTTCTGCAATCTCCTCCTGCTTCTTTGTCAGAAGTTCCTTTTCCTGAAGGTAATAAAACGAGATTTAGGGATGAAACGAGTGAATTTAACATACAAACATACACAAATTTTGTTTATTTAATTTTTGCGAAAAGAGATAGAAATTACGAACCTCCTTTGACAACCAACTATTCCCCTCAATTTCATAGTAGTCACTTTGGTCATCAATAACTGTAGTTCGTGCTGCAGAGTCTCGGTCATACTCAACGAGTCTCTTTGCATAAGCTTCTGCTACTGCTTCAGCATCTGATGTGGGAGCGAAACTTTCCTCCAAACCAGCATACGTGCTGCCTTCCTTCAGCACAAGAGCTCCACAAAAATTGCAAGGCCCCTCGCCCTCTTGCTCACAGACTATCTTCCCACACGATAAACAATTGCTCACAAGTCTGTGGCTACGGGCTTGGCATGAGCATGGCTTCCCCTGGTTGAATACAACTGATCCTTTGGAAACCTCTGCAAGTGAAACAACTTTCCCAGCTTTCTTCTTCTTAGAGTTGCCTTGGTTCGTGTTACTTGTGGTCTTTGACTCGCTGGTCTTAGCTGGAACCTGCTTTACTTGATTGCTGGAAGTTGTTTGATCACTGGGGTCTCTAGCCACTTTCGGAGTTTTCAACGGTTTCTTTGACCCACTTGCAGAACCTTCATTTGAGGGTGGTTTAACATAGGCATGCAAACTTGAGGTTGGAACAACCCGGGTGCTGCTGCAAAGATCTGAGCGACCTCGTTTCTGTAGATATTCCTCAATCACAGATTTGCCCACCTCCTGCCCAACGATGTTCTACATGGAAAAACATCCAATCTCAAATACCAACATACAAACATGGACACCAGACGCGGTTCTACAAGTAAACGAACTACACAAACAATCATCTCATTCTTCGGTTCAGTGACAGTGCAAGATTTCATAGATGAAAGATATACACTAGCATTCGTCACGAGTCCCGTCCAAAACAAGAGCCCCATAAGACAAAAGGAAATACTCAATTGTTCCAGTTCCGGTCCAAGTTGTTTGCCAAATTTTAAATGTACTCCAACAAAACACCAGAAAATTGCTAATTTGAATTTCCCAAAACAACAACGGAAGCTTTCTCATCAGAACCCAATTGGTGAAGCACAATCCCAAATTGCAATCAAGAACTCGGTTAAAAAAAAAAAAAAAAACCAACAAATCCAATGGCAATATAAACATCATCTCTAATTTTTACACACACAAATTCTACGAATTTGCACAAAGTTATTGGAGAAAAAGTAAGAAATTGGGCTTACGTCGAGGTACTCTTTGGCGTCTTGAGGATCGGCGAGCTCACAGTAGGAGACCAAACCCGATATCATATCCTTATCCAAACCCCCGGTTTCCATCTTCCGGCATAGATCCACCAACGCCTTCTCCAGCCATTCTCCCGCCGCCCCCATTTTCTCTCTCTCTCTCTCTCTCTCTCTCTCTCTCTCTCTAAAAGTTTCAAGCTTTCTCTCTGCTTCGCCGATCGGAGACGACGACACTGGTTTTTGGGTCTGGCAGCGAAGGGGATTTTAGTGATGGTGTAGTGCGTTCATTCATTTGGCACGAGCATTTTCCCTCTTGGGTCCCACCATATAAGATGACGTGGCGGGATCATAGTTGTTTCTCGGCCAAACGGAACTTAAAACACCCGCCGCAGAGTATTAAACCCCAGTTACTTCTTCTTCACGTCTCCAACTCTCTGCAATTGGAACCCATATTTCCCCAATTTAGGGAAATTTTAGCTACAGAAACCATTACAATGCATCCCCTGCGTTCAACTCTCTGCATTTGTAATGCTTGGTCTCCAATTAGTTGGCTTTTCGAACCAGCCTCAGATCTGCTTAATCCGAAATTTATACGTGCCTCGGCATGTTTCTTCAAATCTATGCGCAGCAAGAACAATACAAGCAGCTTGCAGTGTTCCCCATATTAAAGCATTGATGGCCTACATCTGCATACATGTTTGAAATGGAGATATATGCGCCGGGATCCATTGATGGCTCCAACTCCATAATCATCTTTTTAGCAACTAGCTTTCCAAGCTCCGTATCACCATGAACTATACAAGCAGCTTGCAGTGTTCCCCATATTAAAACATTGGGTTTAATAGGCATATTGTCGATGAATGTTGCAGCCTCCTTCAGTCTGCCCGATCGACTAAGAAGATCAATCAGACAGGCATAGTGACGGTCACCAGGCTTTAGTCCAAAGTCTTTAACCATTGAATTAAAGTAGAAATAAGCTTCTTCAACCAATCCGTTATGGCTACAGGCAGATAAAAGTGCAACAAAAGTCACTGAAATAGGCCTGATTCCTTGTTCCCTTAAAAGCTCGTACGCTCTTAAAGCCTCTGCGCCTTTCCCGTGTTGAGCATAGCTCACAATCATAGCTGTCCAACAAACTAAATCTGGCTTCTCAATTTGATCAAAAGCTTTGAGGCAATGTTCAGTGCTTCCGCACTTTGAGTACATTGTCACTAGTGAACTGCCTTGAAGCCAACTTTCGTGATGTGAGCATGCAGTTGAATCCCGATACCTTGTCCATTCAAAAGTGCAATGGCCCCAAGAATGGATGAGATTGTGTAGGAGTCAATAGTCAAACCCGACATCAAAATATCATGGAATAGCAGAAGCGCCTCTTCGACATACCCATTTTGAGCATATCAAACACTCTCCTTGCCAATTCTAGAGCACTGCATTTTGAGTAAATGGTCACAATTGCCCCACCAAGTACATCTTGTTCAACTCCTCTGCGAAGAGCATGACAATGAATTTCCATACCAGTCCGTAGGGAACACAAAGCAGAACATGCAGTTAGAATTGCTGTTAAAGTTATCTGGTCGGGTACAATTTCTTCTAATGGTATCTCTCTATATAGCTGGAGGGCTTGATCTGCACAGCCACGTTCGACAAAGCCTGCAATCATCGAGGCCCATGAAACATTGCCTTTGTCAGGTATTTTCTGAAAAACTTTGTAAGATTCCTCTAGACTATCACACTTTGAGTACATTGTGAAAAGAGAACTACCAACAGAGACATTAAATACCAACCCACTCTTAAGAGTATAGCTGTGGATCTGTCCCCCTAGACGCTGGAAGTACAAAACCTATCAGGTCTCATGCTTTCCTGTAACATTCGCCAGAAAAATTCAATTGCCCTTCCAGAATTTTGATTCTGGGCAATAGAAGATATTATTGCTGCCCATGTGCTCAGATCCTTTATATTTTCCGTCTCTCTGAACACCATCTCCGATAGATCGACTGCTCCTATTTTTGAATATGTGTTAATTAACGCTGACCCCACAACTGAAGCTGAATACAATCCAGATTTCAAAATCAAAGAACGAATTTGGGTTGCCTCTTCCGTCATGGATGGTTTAGCACATGCAGTAGTACACTCGTAACAGTGTACTTATTCATTTGCTCTCCGATTTTTCTCATTTCTCTGAAAAATTTGACGGCAGAAATAGAATCGTCCTTATGCACAAAACCAGAAATGATGGCGGTCCAAGAAACCACATTACGGGTTGGCATACGTGAGAATTCCTTGACAGCTTCATTCATTTCTCCACATTTGGCATATAAATCTACAATAGTAGTCCCAACAAAGACATCTTTTGCACCGCGTTTAATCACCAACCCTTGAACTTCCTTCCCAACTTCAATTTCTTCAAGTGCAGCACAAGCGGTTAAAACGCTAGAAAATGTAAAACTATTTGGCAAGAGGAATCCACGACACATTTTCCGAAAAAGATGCAACGCAACCCTGTTCTCTCCCTTTCTCACAGGCCCAGAGATAATAGCATTCCAAACCACAACATTGTGACATGAAACATCATGAAAAACCCTCAAAGCATCTTCAAAGCTGCAATTTTTCGCGAACAAGTCTATCATTCCAGACTGAACATAACCATTCGAAAAGAACCCATTTTTCATTGCAAGCGAATAGACCTGCTTCCCAAAAATAGGAGCTTGCAAGGCAATGCAAGCCGAAAGAACACTCCCAAAGGCAAACTCATCGGGCCCAAAACCCGAAGCATGCATCGGACAAAACATTTCCCATGCCTTCTCGAATAACGAAATGTGGTTATAACCGGAAATCATGATATTCCATGAAAAAACATTTCGGTCAGCAATTAAATCAAACAGCTCGAGTGCATCTACCATGGCAGCAGACTTACAATACAAATCGAGCAATGAATTCACGAGCGAGATCGGATTGAATTAAACCGGTTGTGATCAAATGGGTGTGGAAGATTTTAGTGATTCTAGCATTACATTGTCTTGATTGTTGAGAGTGAGATTCTGGAGGGGAGTTTTTGATTGAGGAGAGAATTCATCTGGGTACGGGAAGAGGAAAGGGAGGGCAGAGTCGCAGACCTTTTGAAGAAACGCGGGAATGTGTCAAACTGTAATAAACTAACGACATTTTTAATCTAATGCTAGCGTCTACATATAGCGAGATGTCAAGATGGCCGAGTTGGTCTAAGGCGCCAGTTTCAGGTACTGGTCCGAAAGGGCATGGGTTCGAATCCCATTCTTGACAATTTATTTTTCTTATTTTTTTAATTTTCCATTTTTGCTTCCACTTTTTTGTACAATCGGATATTTAGAGAAGCGGAAACTGAATTCGGAGTTTCAAGTGCAAATAATTTTTGAGTCTTTTAACAGTCGATATTATTCTTGACAATTTATTTTTCTTATTTTTTTAATTTTCCATTTTTGCTGCCACTTTTTTGTACAATCGGATATTTAGAGAAGCGGAAACTGAATTCGGAGTTTCAAGTGCAAATAATTTTGAGTCTTTTAACAGTCGATATTTAGAGAATGAGAAATTGAATTCGGAGTTTTGAGTGCAAATAATTTTGAGTCTTTTAATAGTCGAGTGCAAATAATTTTGAGTCTTTTAATAGTCGAGTGCGAATAATTTTGAAAAGTGGAGTAACTAATATTTTGTTAGTTGATGGTCAAATTTCAAAGATCATGCCTTCCTTGCTCCAAAAGCATATCCGAGGTCATTTGTTTGGCTATAGTCTCATAGACTTGAACCCAGAAAACTAGCCGTTGCTTGTAGCGGGAGAGATGGAAGGCGAAAACGGAGTAAAACCACACGGGATGAGGGCTAGTGCATGCTCTAAGAGAGTGGAACTGGCTCTCCGACTTAAAGGCGTACGTTACGAGTACGCAGCAGAAGATTTGAGCAAGAGCGAGCTGCTAGAATACATTGATGAAACTTGTTAAGCTCCTCCAGTTTACCAATAGCGAGATCTGGGCCTCCTGGACATACTGATGGTTGCAACGTTTGGCCGTACAAAGCTCATGAACAAGCTTGTTAAGCTCCTCCAGTTTACCAAGCAGACGAGTCATGCTCGATCGCATTACTTAACCATGTTATGCGACGGTGGAACCCATTGGCTACGTAATAACGCCTTAACGGCATATTTTCGATCTGCATCCATCTGAATCTAATACATTGTGTGCACAAGAACAAAGGAGCTGACAACGTAATAAGAAATATTTGAGATGATATCGTTAGCTAAGAAACTCATTCAAATTTAAGGGAAAGATGACAACAAATTATATGGTTCCAACAATTTTTCCTCATCTCATAATACTAGTCAAAATTTATCGCTTGCATATCACGGAAATAGTTCACTTTCTATTTGCTTTTGGACGCCTGCTTTTCTTTTGCCTTCTGAATCTTCAAAACCTTCTTCACGATCTTCTGCTCCTCCACCAAAAAGGCTCGGATGATCCTGCAATGCCAACAATTACAAGAAATATGGTCGGATGAGCCCAAACAAACCAGACAACTCGATAAGTAAAACTTCTAGAAATACAAACCTCTCTCTGACAGCTCCACCGGACAGCACACCCCCATAGGCACGATTCACGGTCCTCCTGTTCCTTGACAGTCTAGACCTCTTATATTCAGCGGGTCTCAAGTGAGGAATCTGCATATGGCGGTGAGTGACAACTTAGCAAAGGGTAGGCTGTGCCCCAACACAGTTTCTCAAGAAAGGAAACAGAAAGCATACTATAATTGGCGGGAAAAAGGAAATGCAACGTACTTTGTATCATCAATATATATCAACATGGCATCCCTAACATTCCGTAAAACACTAATTGTGACAAAGTTAAGCTCAACATGCAATAATCTAACTCCTAACCATACATATGACCGCAACCATTTAAAAGAAGAAATGGCACAAAAATTTTGATTTGCAGTATTAGCAACAATATGCGATAAACAAAAATGCTTAATGTGAATCCTTGTTTTCCTAATTAGTAGTCACAACACCAAGTCCATACCATATACGGTACACATTTCTTGCTGAAAAAAATAGAAATCAGTGATCAAGAGATGGAAAACAAAAGTTAGAACTTAGAACCAAAACAAGTCATAGCCCCAAACAATCAACTCACCCCTTGGATTCTCTTTCCGGTAACAGGACATTTTGGTCCACTTGCTCTCTTCTTACTGGTCTGATACACGAGCTTTCCACCTAAATATCAAAGTGCAGGTATAAGCGAAACCCACACAAAACCAGCGGAATATAAAACTTTATAATACAATTAAAACGCAACTGCAGGAATGAATAGATTATGATCCCAAATAAAACTATGATCTATGACATACAAATGGAGCAAATAAACTGAAGTTCAGCATTGTTTCAAACACTTCTCCATTACTACAACTCAGAAACCTACAATCAAACGGGCACTTAGCTAGTTGAAGCCAGTACGGATATGTAACCTTTAAAACCAATTATACGGTAACCATCTCACTCTTAGAAATTAGGTAACTTTAACGAAAAACCACATTTTTTACATTAAAAACTCAATCCTAAAACTATTCATTTTCCCTTTTATTTTGTCATTATCGTTAAAACTCAAAGTTTTCAAGCCCTTTTCATTAGTTTTCCTTCGAAATTAAGACTTCATAACTGTAAACAAAGCAGATTCTTATTTTCATCAATTTTGAAGTCCCATTTCAATTTTTGCTCATTATCTCAAATCAAGGAAATTTCATAAAAAACACAAATTTCCATACTACTAGATTATCTTGTGAAATTGAATCGATCAAAATCTCAAATTTTTGAGATTTAACACCTGCATCATATCATTTCTTTACAAAATAACATATAAAAAACCCCAGATATTAAATTTAATTAGCCAAAGTACATGAAGAACACTCAAAGTTTGCACTTTGATTGCAAAAGCACCACCATTTAATCTCATATGAACATATAATTAACTATGTATTAAGGATAGTATACCAGGGGTTTTGACGATCCGATGTTGGTTCGACTTGGTTGCGTAGCTGTGGCGCGTACGGTATGTGAGCCTCTGAACCATCTTCAACCTCTCTCCCTCTCTCTCTAGGTTAACTCAGAACAACCGTGTTTTGGGGGTAGAGCGAGAAAGTTAAAGCCCTAGAGGTAGAGAGAGAGGATATTCAGTTGCCCTAGGATCCAACGGCTGTCATGTGTTCTCTTTCAACGGTCATGATTTCTACTTGTGTCCTTTTATATTGGCTTTTTTGCTTATATACCCTTATGGTTTGATGAAAATCCCAATTTTTCCACTGAAACCTGTAATTTATCGATTGCCATTGATGTTGGGAAGTTTTTCCCGCGAAAAAGCCTGCGCCTTTGAGTTATGGAGTACGAGAGCTGACAATGAACACGGCGGAGCAGCTCTGCGTGTCTCTTCTGAGCAAGTGCAAGACCCTCAAAGCCGTGAAGCAAGTTCACGCCTTTGCATCCAAGACGGGCCTCGACGCCCATTCCTTTGTCTTTGGCAAGCTCCTCCTCCACTGCGCCGTCACAATCTCCGACGGTCTCCACTACGGTCGCCGCCTCTTCCTTCATTTTCGAAACCCAGATGCCTTCATGTACAATACTCTCATTCGCGGGCTGGCCGAATCGGATACTCCGCATAATGCGCTTGTTGTGTTTGCTGAAATGCGTCGGAAATTGACTGACCCGATTGATAGCTTCTCTTTCGCGTTCGTACTCAAGGCGGCGGCGAATTGCGGGGATTTGAGAGATGGGATGCGGCTGCATTGTCAAGCTTTGGTTTGTGGGCTTGATACCCATCTTTTTGTTGGGACAACTCTGATTAGTATGTATGCTGAATGTGGGCGTGTTAAGTTTGCTCGACAAGTGTTTGAGGAAATGCGTGAACCAAATGTGGTCGCGTGGAATGCGATTCTTACCGCGTGTTTTCGGTGTGGGGATGCGAAGGGTGCGGAGGCGATGTTTGGCTGGATGCCTTTGAGGAATTTGACGTCTTGGAACATTTTGCTTTCAGGGTATGTGAAAATGGATGAGCTTGAGCTTGCCAAGAAGGCATTTTTGAGGATGCCGATGAAAGATGATGTGTCTTGGAGTACTATGATTGTTGGGTTTGCTCAGAGTGGTTGGTTTGATGAGGCTTTTGGGTTTTTCAGGGAACTACAGCGGGAGGGAATTAGACCAAATGAGGCGAGCTTGACCGGGGTACTCTCTGCGTGTGCACAAGCTGGCGCATTTGAGTTTGGTAAAATTTTACATGGTTTAGTAGAGAAGGCTGGATTACACTGGATGATATCAGTCAATAATGCGCTCCTGGATACCTACTCTAAATCTGGAAATATGGACATGGCTAGGTTGGTCTTTGAAAGAATGCCGGAGAAGAAGAGTATTATTTCTTGGACTTCAATGATAGCAGCGCTTGCAATGCATGGTTATGGCCAAGAAGCAATACAAATTTTCCGTAAGATGGAAATGTCTGGAACTAAGCCTGATGGTATCACCTTCATTTCAGTCTTGTATGCTTGTAGTCATGCTGGTTTGGTTGACGAAGGATGTGAGTATTTCTCTAAGATGAGAGATTTGTATGATATAGAACCAGCTATTGAACATTACGGTTGTATGGTAGATCTATATGGTCGAGCTGGTAAACTGCAGAAGGCCTACGATTTTGTACATGAACTGCCAATATCTCCCAATGCTGTTATTTGGCGCACTCTTCTTGGGGCTTGCAGCATTCATGGTAATGTTGAGTTGGCAGAACAAGTGAAGGAAGCTCTTTCCAAACTTGACCCCGACAATTCTGGTGATCACGTTCTCCTGTCAAATGTATATGCTGTTGCAGGGAAGTGGAAGGATGTTGCTGCTCTAAGAAGATCAATGGCTGACCAGAGGATTAAGAAAGCTCCAGGATGGAGTGTGATTGAAGTTGAACGGGTCATGTATAGTTTTATGGCTGGTAAACAATCAAATAAAATTACAGAAGAGGCTTATGAGAAGCTACGGGGGATAATGTTAAAACTTAGGGTTGAAGGAGGCTATGTTCCAGAGGTTAGGAGTGTTTTGCATGACATAGAAGAAGAGGATAAAGAAGATTCAGTTTTCAGGCACAGTGAGAAACTTGCTGTAGCTTTTGGGTTGGCAAGACAGCGTGAAGGGCAGATTATAAGGATTGTGAAGAATTTACGGGTCTGTAGGGACTGTCATACGGTGATGAAGCTGATTTCTAAGGTTTATGGAGTGGAGATAGTGGTGAGAGATAGAAGCCGTTTTCACTCCTTCAAGGATGGCTCTTGTTCATGCAAAGATTACTGGTGAGTGGCGACTGACGAAGCACTTGAAGAAGTACACAAAGACAAGACGGAACGCCAAGAATTTGGCTTTGAGTTGTATCATTGATTGAAAATTTCGACTAATGGTTCAATGGAAGCAATTGAAGTGCTGCTAGATTAGCAATTAAGTTCACTCAATTGGTTTTTAACTTTCTGTCAACAATTATGTGTAATTCTTTGAAATGTATAGCTTTTGACCCCCCAAACTTGTACAGATTTTATGTGCCGGAAACATTCTTCAAAGTTGGGAACTTTTCAAGATTTTTGAAAGTATCTACGTCAATTGAACTTTTGTTTGGAATTGCTTTCGTAGGAAGCACTTGTTAATTCGTGAAAAGTTCGTGGCATTTACAATTTTCATGGGGTTTTCTCAAACTTTTGTGGTTATGACTTATGATACAAATATTGAAAAAAAAAAATATCGAAAGGAGTTAGGTGAGAAAATTTAACGTTTGGCGGGAGGGAGGCCAACGGCACCACCATATGAAGAAGTGAACAAGCTTGTATCTCATTTGGTGCGGAGTGATATTTCCAAAACTTGTGTGGACACTTGTGATATATTCACATCTCTCATTCCGTGTGCTGACTGCAGAACTGAGATTCTTTGAGATTTTTCTACAGAAGAGAAACCAGCGGTCAGCAGCTTCCTCTCAATTCCTGCAACAAATCCATGGCGCTCTCTGCAGCATTCTACGCACCTTCACAGGCGTCCCGTGCTCTTTTGTTCCGAACCCGAAAACCGAATTTCTCACAGACTGCTTGCTTCCAGAAAACCCTAACAGTTAGGGCTTCAACCACCCTGGAAAACTACTCCAAGCTCCCTGTGGGTGAGAAATCTATAGCCCCATCAAAGGTCAGTGATCGAAAATTTGAAATTGTACTTTTTTCTTTGTTCTTACATTGTCAGTTTTCACATGGGTTTGGAATCAATACACAGTTTTTTTTTACCGTGCTCTTGAATCATGAATGAATTGGAAACTTGAGAAAATTGAATGAATTTGCTAATGTGAGTTATGGGAATTCTCAAAACTAAGCAATATGAACTCGGAATTTTGGTATGTTCAAGCATTAAAACGTGTAATTTGATGCTTTTTTGTTAGGAAATTTGATCAAAAATAAAATTAATCTCGCGTAGATTCATATCGAAGTGAGAGATTGGCTGTTGAAAAAGATTTAAATTAGTTTACTTTCTGAATGTATTGTGTTGAAAGTTTGTATTTTTTACACCAAAGGGACTCAATATATCATCAACCTCAAATGCGAGCTATTGTTATGTTAGATTCCATGCAATATCGTATGATTCTATTTGATATGGTAAGAAACAGCATTTGGAAACTATAATCTGGTCAGCCATGTCGTTGTGTTCGTAATTTGCAGAATTCAGTTTAAACGTTTTGTCACCTTACCTCACAAATGATTGTACTTTGTTTCAGAGCAATAGTTGGCAATGGAAATTCAAGGAAAATTCTATCAACATCTACTATGAGGAGCATGAAAAGGAAAGGGAGGGTACTTCTAAAAACATTCTTTTGATACCAACCATTTCCGATGTAAGCACTGTTGAAGAATGGAGATCCGTAGCAAGTAATCTTGTTCAGCAAGACGGTAATGTTAATTGGCGAGCAACCATTGTTGATTGGCCTGGTCTGGGGTACTCTGATAGACCAAAGATGGACTACACCACTGATGTCATGGAGAAATTTCTGGTTGACTTCATCAATGCACCTGATGGTCCGATAAGTGGCTCAGGTTGATGAGTAACTACTTCTCTTCTTGAAATTAATCGTCAGTTATGATGATACCACATTTGTTTAAATCTTTTTAGTAAGATGTATGCTAGCCCTGTTGTTCTATCATGCATATATTACGTAGTCAACCTTGTTAAAAAGATATAGTTTATTTGAAACTGTGACCATGCTTCCCAACCTCGTCTAACAGTCTCTTGATACCAACCAGAAAATGACTTTGTGGTATTTGGAGGAGGGCATGCAGCTACTTTAACTATTCGTGCTGCAAAACGTGGTGCTGTGAAACCTAAAGCCATTGCCGCCATTGCACCCACGTGGGCTGGTCCCCTTCCTATTGTGTTTGGTAGAGATTCTAGCATGGAAACTAGGTATTCTATCTGAAACCCTCATATATATGTGTGTGTGGAATGATTCTTGTTCTTGAGACTTGTGGGGTAATAGATAAAGACAGTAAATTGAGGATAACTATTCTGGAGGAAAAGTGCTGGTAATGCTTCCCTTGCTTCTATATGTTACACATAGTTCGGCCATTGTTAAGATTTTGATGTAGATGTCTTCAATGGAAAGTGTTCCTTTTCCTTGAACTATATTGAACCACAAGTTTTATTATGATCCATGAACCTGATTGATCAGTCCTTTCGTTAATATTTTTTTTGCAGGTATGGACTGCTTCGAGGCACCTTACGAGCCCCTGCTGTGGGCTGGATGATGTATAATATGCTTGTCAGCAATGAGAAGTCAATTGAATCTCAGTACCGATCACATGTCTATTCAAATCCTGACAATGTGACTCCTGGAATTGTCGAAAGTAGATATGCGCTGACAAAGCGGAAGGGAGCTCGCTACGCGCCCGCTGCTTTCTTGACTGGCCTCCTTGATCCTGTGCAAACCCGAGAGGAATTTCTTGAACTCTTTGCAGATATGGGCAGGAGGAAGATACCAGTTATTGTCCTCTCAACCGAAGGATCTCCAAAGAGGTCAAAAGCAGAAATGGAAGCTCTCCGGGAAGCTGAGGGAGTAAGTAAGTTTGTCGAGGTGCCAGGTGCTCTTCTTCCGCAAGAGGAGTATCCTGCTATGGTTGCAGAGGAGCTTTACCAATTCCTGCAAGAAAGTTTTGAAGTCAACAATTAGTTTGTTTTTGGTTTCCTTACTTTACAAACTTGCTCAAACTTACATGTACTTTTCTCGTCACCAAAATTATACACACTTTATCCACTCTAAAATACTTCAGATTCTACTTTTATAGCTTTTATTTTTCAGCAGCTATTGACACTTCGAAAAAGTCGTTCCGCAGCATGTATCATTCTATCCAGTATTTTCATTCAAGGAAGAGGAATGCATAACAAGATTTTTAGAGTGACTGTGAAGGCTGGTAATTGGCGAAGCACAGCCAACAAACAGATGAAAAAACTAGCAAACTGCCCTAGGCTGAGGCCTGAAAATGTTAGCCCAGAGTAAAGTCTTGCTATGACCCAAATAGGCCTAGTAAATCAGCAGCCCCATCCAGATGACCCAAAAGAGTTCTCTTAGCAAACAACTTTCTTTTTTTTGGAACTTTAATGAAAAGCTTCGGGTACTGTTCACTTTAATGAAAAATCATATTTTTACACTAAAAAGTCAATCCTGATACTATTCACTTTCCCTTTGTTTTGTCCTTATCGTTAAAACTTAAAAGTTTTCAAGTCATTTTCATTAGTTTTCCTCTTTTTTTTTTTTGTCGAGAATGTCAGAATTCATTAAAGATAAAACATATTACAAAGTCAACTAATGGCCCAAGATAAACAGTGGGAGGCCTAACTCGACATCGACAAAGGCCTAGAACTGAAAACAAATGTCAGAAAAGAAAACCTAATCTCCATTGAGGAAGAGGAGCCCGCTGTCGCCAAACTCTCGCCAGCAACCACCAGAGTGACAACCATGTAGGAACCAAACAAAAGGTGGATCTGCAAAGAGTCAAGCACATCCAAAATAACCCAAAAATGAAAAGAAATTCCATAGCAAAAATCAAATCTCAAAGTGTTGCAACCGACCGAGCCATGTAGATTCGTACCACCAACCACCACACCTGCAAGAAGAGAACCAAGTTGACACAACACGAGGGTGGGGAGGGCCAAGGGGATGTGTAGAACACCCTTACTATGACGAAGGTCGCATAACACTTCGCCAAAACTTTCCGGCATGCCGATAAAACAAGGGGCAGTAGGATAGAGATCTACATCCCAAATCGAATCCAGAACTTGAAAATCTAATTTTTGGTAGGAATAAAGGGAAAGTGATGGAGAGGTTGAAGATGGAGGTGTCAGGAGATGCAAGGAGAAATCGTAAAAACGGATGTGAGAGAAAAGGACTGAAGAACTTAAATTAGGGTTTAAAAAGAGGGCAAGATGTAGGAGAAGAAGAAAAGGCAGGCAACAAAACAAGAGATTAAAAACCAGTGAAATAAGCTGGTAAATGGCGAATGACGCTAGAAAAAGAGGTATTGACCTCACAATCCGACAACCATAGGCAGCGGAAGGGTAGGTCACATAGATAATGAAATAATAGGAGATTGAAAAGGAAGAAGAGAAAGGGGGGCTGCATGCCGACCCCAACCAAAGGAAGGAGTTGGAGGGCTAAGGAATTTGGGGGATCTCTACGAGAGAGAGAAAAAAAAAGGGACGACTAGGGTTCTTTGAATTTGCATGTTTAGTAAACAACTTGAATCCTAAGATCTTGAGGAATTTTTATCTGCGATTGTTGAAACACACTCACAAGGCAATGAGACTATGCGTCTCACCCCTTATGGGTGTGTTGTTTTACACGACGGACACAAATAATAATATCTACTAAGATTTCTGTCACTCCTAGTACATGATGTTTTTTTTCTTTTGGTTTTTGCATCCTCTTCGACGCCGGTGCCAAAAAATAAAATGAGAACCTATTACATGATTATTGGATCTCCAACATGTATCAATCAATCAACATTAGCGTAGTTATGATTTGTCTATGTTGAGAGGGCATGGATAAATAATGTCCATAAGTTGCAACTACTTGGTCGATCCTAATGAAATTAGCTTACACACTCATTTAATATATAGCCGTATGGGTTTGGTTAGTCCATATGTAGTTAAGAATATATTAGGGTTTCAACTAATTTTATCATTTTCTTCTTAATGTCAAGTGAGGCAGAAAATAATAATCAAATAATAATCAAGCTAGTGCAATGTTCTTTTGATTTGGAGTTCATTTGATAACCATTTCATTTTCATTTTTTGGTTTTTAATTTTAACTTTTGTTAAAACTAAAAACATGAAATTTTGTTTGGTATACTACTTTCAGTTAAAAAAAAAAAAAGTGAAGGCCAAATTTTGAAAACTAAAGAAATTAGACTGAAAACTAAAAGTAGACAGCAAACAAGATTTCAAATTAGTATAAAAGCTTGCTTTGAAGTGCTTTTAAAATGACCAAAAGTGTTTTTGGCAAAAAAGTTTTTGGAACTAATCCTTAATAAAAACAAAAGTAAATCTGGAATAAGCAATAGTTATGTGCTTCTTCTAGGAAGCACTTCAAGTGTTTTTGGAACAAAAAAAATATTTTTCCTAAAAGTGTGACATCCCGTCCAGAAATTTATCGTATTTTATTCTTAGTAGCAACGAAATTATCAAAATGCCCCCAAGATGCCACGTGAACCTCAACTCTCTTTTCACTTATCTAGTCTTATTTTATTTTTGAATAGTACTTATTTTTACGAACACGTGACGACAAACGGAACCAAATTCAGAGTCTTAGATACACTTCCTTTTACCATAAATAAATTCAAACATTTTTTCTACCTATTGTTATGTTTGAGTGGTAGGATCGATCCATGTTTAATTTTTATATGGGATTGGAAATCCCATCCGTTCCTCCGATTGTAGCAGACTTTGTCTTGCTTTTATAATCACCATATTCATTTCTGGGTTATTTTAACCATCACCTCCATTTCTTTTGTTTTCTTTAATCTTCACTTTCCCATGTCTCTCTAGCTTTCTCTCCATCAGACACCATAATGAACTTTATTATTAACTCTCTCTCCCCCATCCTCTCTCCCACGCCTCATCTTTTTCCTAATATTTTATTACTTTTTTCCCTCATTCATGCTGGTTCCTTATTCTCTCTCTCTACCCACTCACCACCATCAGACACCACTTCCTTACATTTTTATTAAAATGTATTTTTAATCTCTCACTCTCTTTCTTCTTCTTCATTTCTGCAACCTCAACTCTCCTTCTAACTCCCGAACCCTCTCTCTAGCTCCATCAAAACCAGCCACCACCAGCACTCGTTCCTTCACAAATTTAACCCCAAATCTTGATCTTTCGAACCTTTGGGACATAGGGAACACGACCGCAGCTTTGCATGCAGTATCAGAGCAACTCCGAGTGCTCTGCCATTGAAGACCCGAGAGCTTCGAGCTCTCACCTTCAATCTCAGGTGAGATTCTTTCATTCTCTTCAATTTCTGGGCTTCTGTTTGCGATGGAAATGAATGTTATGTTGAGTTTAAGCTTGAATCCGTGTGCTTTTAGCCCCGCCATCCTCTGCATATGCATGCTCAATCCCGACATCAAACTCCCGCAAGACTTCCGTCGAGTTCGTGAGTGGTGGCACTCAGGCTCTCTTAGAATCGATCCCAGGTACCAAGATACCACCTTGTATGTGAAAATTAGTTGGAAATTACTAAGGTTTGACATGCATGCATACTGGTTCTCGTTTCCAGAAGCTTTAGGGCTGTTTGGTATGAAATTAAGGCAGTTTTGCAAATACCTCTAGTTTTAGGGGGGGATTTTGTGAAATGGGAATTTTGGACAGATTAACTAAAATCTGCCCATTTTATGTATGAGTTTTACTTTAAGTATTTTGCTAAGCCAATGTGACTTGGCATAGGTACAAGCTTATTCGGACTTACGAATGACAAGGCTTATCGGCTTATCGAGAGCAAGCAAGCTATGGTTAATTATTTGAGTGGGTCTTTTCGTTTTTACTTATAATATGTATATATGATTTTTCCCAACAACTGCTTTTATATTGACATGCTATGTTTATCTTTACAAATAAATTTTTCGTACACTTTATATTTTTAATATTATTTGTGAGCATAAACTTGTGGCATGACATCCTTGCATTTTACCTGCTCATTATCACATGTTTGCACGGTGTCACTTAGTTATTTGTACTGTCCTGGGCCAAGGACCAACTTCACCTGTAGTTCACATGCATAGTTTACATTCGCTTTGGATCCAGAGTTAGGTGCCAGCCTGTCTTTTTGTGTGATGTTTTGGACTCGTATGTGATGTGACTAGCGCAGCTCAAGCGATGTGGTACTAGAATGTAAAACTTACACCCAGCATGTTCCATTGTTTGAATATCTCTGCAATGGACTTATGTGCCTACATAAATTAATGAGCATTGAATTCATATAAAAACGGTTTGAGATTTAATGTTGTGATACTTTGTTGTCGTACCCTACATCTTGACTCACTTCTGCTGCAGGGTACCTACTACATACTATTATTATAATATTTTTGGGAAACCATATACTTGTTTTACAGCGAGGGTTTACACTTTTCGAAAAGGTTTTACAAAACTTTATTTCAGGCCCACTCAACTTTATTTTTCGTCCCTCCAGGATTTTAGTGGCAGATGTTTCAAGACGACGAGGATTGTTGGCAAAAGTTGTTATGTATGAGACTTCCATTTTCGGTACAAATGTCTTTACTCTTCTTTTACTGCAATTTATTTATGTTTTGACATCACTTGTGTGATATGGGTTCAATCCCGCTCACATGCGCACTCTAGATTAGTCAATTTTAGGTTTTAATTTATTCACATTTTCCACATCACTACACTTTATGGCTTCGTCACCTTCCAGGTGTCGGCTAGCACATCACGATTTGGGTGTCCAGGTGGACATTCTGCGTCGGGGTGTGTCAAAAAGTACTTTCAATCATTTTAAAAACACTTTCAAACGAGCTATAGAGAAAATGCACTTCCAAAAACATTGTCAAATTCATTATTGTCTAGTAAGATATAGATTAATCTCAAACTATCGGATCGTGTTTTACCATAAAGTGGGAATTCACATAGAAAATGCCCTTGTAACTTTGAAAGATCCAGGTCCAAAAACAAACATGTACAATTTGACGGTAAGGGGCGATCATATATTTCATAATTCATATATCATAAATAATCGCAATGCTGGGGTCAAAACCTTGTAGCTCTCCTAGATCACACCACCAGTGGCGTAGCCAAGATTTTTGAATAATAGGGTCATAATATCAACACATTGGGGTATTTCGTCGAGCACCTAGTAGGCACTTGCCAATTCCTGTCAACATATGCCAGAAGTTTATGCCAACATATGTCGACAACTACTATTATTTGTAGAGACTTGTCGAGAGTGGATGTAGGATACAGTGGAGTAATGTTGAAAATTGTCAAGGCTTTTCAACTAAAGTATTTCCTACAAGAAGAGAGAAAAGACAAATATGATAGAATAAAAAAAAGAAAAAAAGAAATAGGATGAAGATGTTGTAATTTAGTTTGTCTTAACTAGTTATAGAGGTCCAATACGATATACAAATGAACATACATGGGGTTTTTGAAGTTGTTGGAGTCAAGGAAAACCAATGACTTCATGTTGGCTTCGTCATTGCGTATCATATGGAATCAATTGTCGGCCAATCAATTTCCAGAAGTGGCTACCATTTGACCCTTCACGTGGGTAGACATTTTCGATGGTGATGATCTGATCTCCAAGCTTTTGTTCCCTTCCTCCACGTTCAATTGAAATAAAAGCCTACCCACTCTACCTTTAGTTCATGTAGCATCAGATTGTGACACATGACTATGAAGAGAGATTTTTCAATGTGCTTGGAACATGGGATGGTACACTACGTGTCACTATACAAATGGTGATACACTTGTGTTAAAAAATTAATAACTTGAAAAATAAAACTACCCTCTACTTATATAATAACACGTGGTGCACCATCTGTACTCCAATCATATTGAAAAATTCCTCCACAATGACCAGTGAATGTAGTGAACCACTATTGCATTTAGTATACTTTGATGGATTAGAGCCACTCACTAATTATCCACATTAGCTTATTTTTATCGTATTTTATCTAAATTGTGATAAATACCTATTTATTTATTGGATTATTTTTACTCAATTTTGAAATTAATATAAAGAACTATATTGCTTCTCTATTCTTGCTCCTAATCTATATCTCATTTATTTCTTATGCCTCATCACGGGCTAATTGTGTTAATTAATCTATATTGTAGGTACATTATATGAATTTATAGGTGTTAGGTTTTTCCAGCCTATCATACGTTGTCTTAAGTCTATAAGGAATTATAGTCTTAGAGGATTAAATTGTTTTCCCAATTGGAGTTAGTTTCTCAATTGGAGTAGGATTCATAACTAGATTCCAATTAGGATTAATAATCCTTATTGAAGAAGACCTTTAGGGGGCGTTTGTTTCACCTTCTTAAATGGGACTGGACTAGCTAGGATTATTGTCCCATGTTTGGTAAGCTTGGGGACTAACTTAAATGAGACTAGCCCGGACTCGTGTGGACTATCTCCCTCGCTAGGTCATCTTAGCGAAGCTCCCCAAAAACCACGGGACTACTAAGACTTGTTTCGTCTCCTTTGCGCAGCTTGGCGTCCTCCCTCTGCGAAGACCTTGCTTCATCAACGTTGCGTCTTCTCTCCAACGAGATCACAGCACCACACCAAGACCATTCCCTCGTTTCAAATCCGAGAGAACTACGGTGATATTCTCGGCGACCCGACCAAATTGCACCCCTTGCAGTCTGCAACTCCAATCCCTGCTCATGCCCATACCCAGCCCCACCCACCCGTGTCGTCTGCAACTTCAATCCTCACCCATGGAAGAACAAGTGAAGTTGGACGGGAAAAGAGGCAAAGGGAAGAGAGAGAGGGATTTGAACGGAAAAACAAAGGGAAGAGAGAGAGGAAGTTGAACAGGAAAGCTCACATGGCTGCCATTAAATTGGTGATTAAAGCTTGAAAGGGAGGGGTTGGGGTTTTTTGGGGGAAGACGGTAGTACTGAGAAAAAGAGGGAGAAAAGGCAGAAAAAAGGGAGAGGGGAGGGAGTCAATGGGCAGAGATAAAAATGAATCAGGGAAGAAGATGATTCTAACCAAATGATAAAATAATAATAAAAATAAATAGTAGATTAGATTAAATTAATGATAAAATATTGTATATATAGATTTAATAATACAATATTAGAATCCTGCTTTTTAATCCGGCACTGCATCAAACACTTCACAAAGTCCATCCAGCTTAGTCCCTGAAGCTAGTCCAATCCGAGATAATCCAGTGTAACAAACGCCCCCTTATTATGTCTAGGGGGCTGTTGTACTAGTTTTGAATTGGAAGGGAGCAAAACAATAAATTGTATACCGCTCAAGGGATTAGAGTGAGAGAATATTGTAAAGTGTGTGCAAGAGAAAAGAAAAGAGATAGTGTATTTCTTCTTCTTGTTCTTTCAGGTTTTTCGTCAAGTCTTAGTTCTAGAGATTTGGCAAGATTATTGGTTGTACTCATTATTGATATAGTGAAAGATTGTTGTTGTTGTCCCGTGGACGTAGGCACATATTGCCGAACCATGTAAATTCTTGGTGTTATTTATGTTGGTTATTTGTTTTCGATTTCCGGAGTTGGTTCTATTTTCCCATTCTTAAATGCAATATTCTCAACAATAGGTGTGTGGAATAGAACTACTTTCATGGATGATAGGTAAATTAAGTTTTATTTATTTTTGTGTACAGTTGTGTCACAAGTTAAATGCATTTTATCAACCTCTAGTATAAGTATCATAAATGATGACATATAAATTATCTTTTTACTAATTTTTTTTTAAAGTGATTAAATTTTTAAATTTAAATATTTAAAGATACATATATTAAAAAGTTTAATTAAAATTAAAAAATAAGAAAACTAGATTAAATTCAATAACAACTCAAAGTTTTAGACTTAAATCGAAATACCCCATTAAAATACTACTTCTTGGCTTTTGGGCTCCAATTTATACCTAACAGGTGGATTTGAATCCCATCCGGATCCAAATTGTAAGGATCCTAAGGATCCTCACATTTTAGCCATTCATCGTGCATTGTGGGTTCAGAAATCATTTGATTTTTTATTATTTAAAATTAAACACAAATAGTACCTGACGAAAACTGATCACATGATGTATAATGAACAGTTAGGATGTGGGGATCTCTAGGATCCCCACAAAGTGGATCCGGTGAGGATCCTTTTCCCTGACAAGCCAATCATGGTGGACACGTGTTCTTTTTTTCTTCTTCCTATTATCTTTTGGGTAAGATGTGGGGATCTATGAAATCACATGTTTAGCAAACAACTTGAATCCTAAGATCTCGAGGAATTTTTATCTGTGACTGTCGTAACACACTCACAAGGCAATGCGATTGCTTTTAAATGCGTCTTATTCTATTTTACACGACAGAAACAAATAATAATATCTACTAAGATTTTCGTCACTCCTAGTACATGATTTTTTTTTTCTTTTGGTTTTTGCACCTCTTCGATGCCCGTGCCGAAAAATAAAATGAAAACCTAATACATGATTATTGGACCCAACATGCATCAATCAATCAACATTAGCATAGCTAAGATTTGTCTCTATTGAGGGGGCATGGATAAATAATGTCCATAAGTTGCAACTACTTGGTTCATCCTAATGAAATTGGCTACCTACAACACTCATTTAATATATAGCCGTATAGATTTGGTTAGTCCACATGTAGTTAAGAATATATTAGGGTTTTAGCTAATTTTATCATTTTCTTCTTAATGTCAAGTGAGGCAGAAAATAAGAATCAAATTCTAGTTTTGAATGTGTAATCAAGTTAGCGCAATGTTCTTTTGATTTGGAGGTCATTTATAACCATTTCACTTTCATTTTTTGATTTTTAATTTTAACTTTTTTGAAAATTGGAAACATGAAATTTTGTTTGGTATACTACTTTCAGTTAAAAAAAAAAGTGAAGGCCAAATTTTGAAAACTCAAGAAATTAGAATGAAAACTAAAAGTAGACATCAAACAAGATTTCAAATTAGTATAGAAACTCGTTTAGAAGTGCTTTTAAAATGAACGAAATCACATTTGATGAAAAAGTTTTGGAACCAATTCTTAATAAAAAATGAAAGTAAATATGGAAGAAGCAATAGTTATGTGCTTCTTCTAGGAAGCACTTCAAGTGCTTTTGGAATCAAAAATATTTTTTTCTAAAAGTGTTTTTAATCATTTTAAAAACACTTTCAAACGAGCCACAGAGAAAATGCACTTCCAAAAACATTGTCGAATTCATTCTTGTCTAGTAAGATATAGATTAATCTCAAACTATCGGATCGTATTATACCATAAAGTGGGAATTCACATAGAAAATGCCCTTGTAACTTTGAAAGATCCAAGTTCAAAAACAAACATGTACAATTCGACGGTAAAGGGTGATCATATATTTCATAATTCATAATATATCATAAATAATCGCAATGCTGGGGTCAAAACCTTGTAGTTCTCCGAGATCGCACCACCAGTGGCGTAGCCAAGATTTTTTAATAATAGGGTCATAATATCAACACATTGGGATATTTTGTCGAGCACCTAGTAGACACTTGCCAATTTCTGTCAAC